AAGGGGGAGGGGTTCGACCCCCCCCCCCCCCTAAAGGGGGGGGAGGGGGGGGGGGGGGTTCTCGGACCCCCCCCCCTTAAGGGGGGGAGGGGCGGGGGTGGGTTCCCTGGATCCCCCCCCCTTTTAAAGTCCAAGGTGATCCACTGGCGCTCTTTCCTTTTCGAGGCCGTCCGCGACGACGACGAGGACGAGGACGACAGGGACGATGATGAGGACGAAGACGACAACGAGAACGTCGATGACAACGACTACTACGACGACGACGACCACGGCGAGGATGACGGCAACAACGACGACGACGACAACAACGACGCCGACGAGGACGAGGACGAAGACGACGATAACGAAGACGACAACGAGGACAACGAGGACGTGAGCAAGCACGACGACGACGACGATAACGACGACAACAATGACGAGGACGGCTTCGAGGTCGACGATGACGACGGGGACGACGACGACGAGGACGAGGACGACGACAACGACGAGGACGAGGACAACGACAAGGACGAAGACGACGGGGACGACGACAACGATAACGAGAGCAAAGACGACAAATGACGACGATGATCCCCCCGTATCGGACGTTACGGGCTCAACGAATCAAACACAATCTGAAACTGCCAGACCCTGCATGTGCGACAACCGCATGCGAGCGCAGCACCATGCCTGCGAGCACGGGCAATGAACCTGTCAACGCCACGTTGGCCTGTGAATGTTAGGGTAAACTGCAAACACCACAGTAGCCTGCGATCATCACAATGGCAGCGCCAGGGCGCACTACGGGGGGGCACAGGCGAGGCACGACGCGCGTTATGGCCCAGAGGCTGGAAAAAAACACGATCCTGGTCCCTGCCTCCTCGTCCTCCTCCTCCGCCTGGCAGAGCTCCCCCCCCTCCCCTGGAGCACACTCGTAAATAGACACAACGAGCAGGATTCCCCATATTTCCACATATTTTCGGGGTCTTCATCTTCCCCCCACTTCCAATACTTTCCCATATGTTCTAGGGAATCGACGACAAATGATGTATGTGTTTTTTCCCTCCTGGACTCGGTGATGTTCTGACCCGGGTCAGCCAGGCTTTGCGGAATCCTGCAGCACGGATCCTGCACCCAGCCAGGCCCAGGTGAATGCGAGCCCGGCCCTGCAGGTCGGGCGCCCTAACTGACCCCCGTTTTGCATCGACCCCCGTCTCTGGCCATCGCTCGGACGTCCATTTCGTGTGTTTTTTTTTCTGGTTTCGTGCGTGGCTTTTTCGCCAAATGATCAAGGATGCTCCTCGATGGTCCTTGCCGAAGGAAAAACGCACACGTCCGAGCGATGCCAAGGTCTCAAAACTCCCGAGAGACATCAGCGGCTCTCCCGCCGGGCCCAAACCCGTTCAGAATCCGCCCCCAGACTCCCCCCTGGACCCCCCAGAGGCTGCCCGCCCGCCGCGCGCCGTCGCTCCTCGCGGCCGCTCCTCGCCGCCGCCGCCGCCGCCGTCGTCGTTGCGTCGTCGTCGTTGCGTCGTCGTCGTCGCATCGTCGTCGTCGTTGCGTCGTCGTTGCGTCGTCGTCGTCGTCGTCGTCGTCGTCGTCGTCGTCGTCGTCGTCGGACCTATCCGCGGTCCCACCCTGGCCCGCTTTTCGAGGCGGGTCTGGCCGTGGCGACGATGACGGCACGCGCAGGGAGGGCCGCCGCTGCCTCGATTGGCCCTTCCCTGCAGCTCCTCCCTCCCCCCTTCGTGGGCGGCGCCCAGGGCGGGGGGGGGCGAGGGGGGGAGGGCTTCTCAGATGGAGCCTGCTTCTTGGAAGGCGCGGGCCCGACATCTACGCAGCGCATCTATGGAGAAGGCCGGCGCCTTTAAGAAGCAGGGGTGTTTCTGAAACGCCAACCCTCCTACAACTGGACCTAGGACATAATCACACCCTTCGAGAACATGAGGGCTCCCGCCGGCCAAAACGCTCCCAACCGTTCGATCATTCGAGGCAGACACTCCCCCACGATGAACAAAAACATCCAACAATGACAGAAAACATAGGGTACCCTCCCCGAGCCGACCTCGACCTTACACCTCGGTCCGACAGATACCATGCCAAGACGAAGCCAGGACGAGGATAACATCAAGTGAGGATAACTCGATCATCTCTGATATGTGGCGGCTCTGGAGGATGTCTCGGGCGCCGCGGTCATGTCAGAGCGCTCCACAACGCTCTGAGATCATTCCGGAACGCCCTAGAACGGATTGGTTCATCCTCGGCGTAGGCTCGTCCAGTCACACGTCGGTCGGAAACAAAACAAATAAATACATGAAGTAGGGATGCGGATGAAGTGGGTCGGGTTGACGCTCAACCAGAGAAAAATACAAAGCAGCTGCATCATATCGATTATTGCAGCAAGACTGCGCTTGAAGTAGATGGGGATCTGGGACTCCAAACATACCTACTTCGAACGACCGTCCAACATGCCCCCCGTCCGCGCGTGGCCGACCTCCCGTCCGACCCGACCCGCGCCCGCCACGCGGGCTCGCAGGGCGTCCGCAGGTGGTCCGCGGGCCGGCGTTCCTCGCTCCTGGCGCGCGCGCGCGGGCCGCGGCCCGAGGCCGCCGGCGCTCGGCCGCGGTGGCCTCCGGATGGCACAGTCATCGCGGGATGAGGAGGAGGAGGAGGAGGAGGGGGAGGGGGAGGAGGAGGAGGAGGAGGAGGAGGAGGAGGAGGAGGAGGAGGAGGAGGAGGAGGAGGAGGAGGAGGAGGACCTTCCAAGCTTTCCGTTCCAGCCGCGGCGGCTGTTGGCAGCTCGTCCGCGCCGAGCGGGCGCGATCCGTCGCTGCTCAGAGGCCCGCCTCCTTGAGGACCGCCCCCGCTTCATGGGCGTCTGGCGGAGGCGCAAAAAGTCTTTCACCTCCGAGATCCTCAGCGCCCCGTGGCGGGCCCCCGCGACGTGAGTCGCGTGCGCCCGCCGCGACGTGCCTTCCAAGGAAGTGGCTCGTACTTCTCACGCGCGCCCTATCTGGACGCGTCTCTTACTTTGCGTGCTCCTCAGGACCCTCTTCACGAAGTGGGGCCCGCATGGCCACTTTGGCCTTCCGTTCGTGCCCAGCAGGGTGAAGGCGCTGAACTTCCTGCTGGGCGTAATGCAGCACTTCTGGCATGATATCCTGCTCTGGGAAGGGCCCCCATTCCCTATGAATGTCCCCCGCTTCCCAGTGGGTTCCAGCGCTGTAGCTGGTGACGTTGGGCTTCTCCTTCGCCTCCGTCTTCCGCTGCAGCTGCCCGATCGCGCTGCTCCCAGCGTTGTAGTTGATGGCGCCAGGCTTGCCAACTTCGTCTCCTGCCAGCCACGTCGCTGCGATCGCTGCTCGAGTCTCCCACATGGCCCTGCTGGTGCCGTCGCCGCTGTAGCTTGTGATGCCTGGCTCTATCTTCGCCCCCCGCTTTTCACGCGGCCTGCCCCCAGCGCTGTAGAGGATGATGTCGGGCTCCATCTTCGCACTCTACTTCCCGCTGTGCGTCGTGCGAGGCCTTTGGCCTGGCTCGCCCTTTGCGCAGGCGCTGCTCCCGGTGCCCTCCGCCTCCCACTTCTCGCGCGCGCGGGTCCCGGGGTTGTGACTAGGGGTGTCGGGCTCCGTCTTCGCCGTCCCCTTCTCACACGCCATGGTCTCTGCGCTGTTGCTGTTCGTGTCGGGCTCTATCTTCGCCGTCTGCTTCTCGCGCGTACTGGTCCCGGAATAGTGGCTGGGGGCCGCGTCGGGCTCCAACTTCGCCCCTGAATTCTGGCACGTGCTGTTCTCGGAGCTGTGGCTATGGATGGGTTCCAGTTTTGCCTTCCTCATCTCGCGCGCAATGGTCCCCGCGCTGTAGCTGATCGCGTTGGGTTCACTCCCCACCGCCCTCTTGTCGCAGGCGCTGTTTCCAGAGTCCTGGCTAGGGATAGCGGCCTCTAGCTTCGCCTGTTTCTCGCGTGCCCTGATCGCAACGCTGTAGCTGCTCGCGTCGGGCTAAACGTTCACCTCTCACTGCTCGCAAGCGTTGATCCAAAGGTTGTGGCTTGGGGTGTCGGGCTCCGTGTTCGTTTTTCCCCTTCTCGCACGCCGTGGTCTCAACGCTGTGGCTTCTCGTGCCGGGTTCTGTCTTCGCCTTCCGCTTTTCGCCCTCGCTGATCTTAGAACCGTTGCTGAAGATGTAAGGATCCAGATTCGCCGCTTCCTTCTCGCACGCCACGGTTCCAGCGTTGTGGTTGAAAACGTCAGGCTCAACCCTCGCCTTCCATTTCTCGCACGCGCCGTTCCTACATGTGTGGCTGGGGGGCGCCGGGCTCCAGCATCGCCGGCCCATTTTTTCGCACGCTCGGATCTCGGCGCTGTCGCAGATGGCGTCGGGCTCTTCATTCGCCTGCCTCTTCTCGCATTCTGGACGAGGAGGAGGAGGAGGAGGAGGAGGAGGAGGAGGAGGGATCGGTTCGACGATGCCGATCTGGGGTGCACCGCCTTGACACAGGCTGGCCTCGTTCGGCTGCCACTGCCCTCCCAGCGGCCAGTTGAAGTCCAGCTCCGCGTGCCGGCATGTCACCAAGCGCAGACGCCTCCACGCTCGCCTCTGGCTGCTGACTGGGCGCCTCTCCCATCCCGGGGGCGCACGCGGGGGCTCGGCCATCGGCTGCACTTCCTCCTCCTGTTCCTCCTCCTGTTCCTCCTCCTCCTCCTCCTCCTCCTCCTCCTCCTTCTCCTCCTCCTTCTCCTCCTCCCCCCTCCTACCCCTCCCCCCCTTATCCTTCCCCCTCCTCCCTCCTTCCTCCAGTGGTTCCTCCGCTCTCGCCCTGTCGCGGTGGCTGGGGGTTCTTCTGCGGGCGGCCGCACCCGAGGCCGCGGGCAGGGGGAAATGGCTGCGCCGCCCCGCCGAGGAACCACCTAAGAGGAGGAGGAGGAGGAGGAGGAGGAGGAGGAGGAGGAGGAGGAGGAGGAGGAGGAGGAGGAGGAGGAGGAGGAGGAGGAGGAGGAGAGGAGGAGGAGGAGGAGGAGGAGAGGAGGAGGAGGAGGATTAGAAAGAACCAAGGGGACAAGGAAACAAGCACAGGGGCAGGAGCAGAAACATAAGACATCAGGATAATAATGATGGGTGAGGAGGAGGAGGAGGAGGAGGAGGAGGAGGAGGAGGAGGAGGAGGAGGAGGGGCCACCGCCCCTGGGCCCTGGACGCGCGTCCGAAGTTCTCACCCCCCGCCCACCTTGCCCAGGAACTTGAGCTTCAGAAACTGCCCCGCCCCCCCCCCCCCCTTGATCCCCCCCCGTCCTCCGAGGGCACGAACCCATCCCCCCCTTGATCCCCCCCCCTCCTCCGACGGCACGAACTTGAGCTTCAGAAGCTGCACCCCCCGCCTTGATCCCCTCCCCCTCCTCCGACGGCACGAACCCATCTCCCCCCCCCGAACCCGAAAAGAGGGGGGGTTGGGCGTGGCTTAATGGGGGGGTCACAAATGGGGGGGTCAGAAAAGGTCCCCTTTCGTGCCCCTTTCGGGCCCCTCCGGAGCCCCAGGGGGCTCGTTTAGGTACCGTTTGGGTACCTTTTCGGACCACCCTCGCCATCCCCCCATTTACGACCCCCCTATTACGCAACGCCCAAGGGGGGGGGAATTACTGCGCCATCCGGAGGAGCCTTCGGCGGGCCCGTCGGGGGCCTTCGGCGGGCCCGTCCGACGGGTTCGTCGGGCCTGTCGGGGGCCTGCGGCTGGGCCTCAGAGGCGACGGGTCGGAGGCCTTCGGAGGCCATCGGCGGCCACGGGATTGCGCGAGCGACCTTCGGCGGCGGGCGGCTTTGCCGAAGGCTTACCCAGAGCTGCGCAAGAACCACCGGCAACCCAATCATTTTCTTCGTTTCTTCGTGCAGAGGCGTCACGCGCGATGGCGCTGGCCTGCTGATGGATAGAAGTCTCCCTCCTCCTCCTCCTCCTCCTCCTCCTCCTCCTCAATTGTCCTTCCCTCCTTGCTTTAGGTCGGGCATGCTCAAACATAGTCAGCAAATGGTCCCCAGACTATTGTTTGACGATTTTTGAACCTGCCTCCTGTAGAGGGATAGGCCCAACTCAATCCTTGCTCCGTCCCCCGCAGCCCTCCCCCCTCTTCGGCGCGTCTCCCCCCCCAGGAAGAGTGCGGGGCGGAGATGGGGCCCTGGCTGCGGGGCGCACGCGCGGCGGCGGGGCCGCGCGCGGCGCCGCAGCTCACCGCAGAGCATCGTCGGCTGCGTCATCGCCGTCAGCGCCGGCCGCTCCCGCTGGCCGCGCTGCGACTGCGGCGGGGGGCGCGGTTGCGCTGCCCGCGGCGCGTCCGTCGTCCTCGCCGTCGGCCTCGCCGGCCGCTGCCCCAGACCGCTCCGGGGCTGCGGCGGGGAGCGCGGCGGGGAGCGCGGGGGCGGCAGCCGTGGCGCACCCCTCGGCCTCGCCGTCGGCATCGATGCCGTCCTCCTCGCCCGCTGTCGCGGGCCGCGCCCGAGCCTGGGCACGCGGCTCCAGCACGGCGCCGGGCAGGGCGGCGCACCCGTCAGCCTCGCCGTCCTCGTCGGGGAGCTCGGGTGCGAGACCCGTTGGCGGAGGACCTGCCCCGGCCCCCGCGCCTTCGGCAACCGCCGCGGCGTCCTCGCCGAAGCGATCGGGGCTGCGGAGCGCCACCAGCCCGGGCTCGCTGCGCCTCCTCTCCGCCGCGTCGATGGCACCCGAGGCCTCCTCGAGCGGGTGCATCTCCTCCTCCGTCAGGGCCGTGGTGGTGGCTCGCCCGTACTTCCTGAGGCGGTCGAGGCGGCTGCCAGGGCACGCGCCCGCGGGGCTCAGCTGACGGACGATGGCCGCCGTGGTCGGGGCGCTGCCAACGTCGTTCATGGACGTCCTCCGCTCCAGGAAGCCCTCCGCGTCCGGAGGCCCCTCCTATATAGAGGGATCAGGATCTGCAAACATGCACTTGTGGACTTCGATCGGATTCTCTGGATCAGCGCTGGACCCCCCCCATCCCTTGCGCGCGGAGCGCGCCATGGGCGGTCCCGGAGGCGCCGCCAGGGGGCCCAGCGCCGATGCAAGAAGTCCGCGCGGCCCGTCGAAAGCTCATGTTCATGCAAATCGTGTCCCGTCGACCCTCTGCAGAAGGTTACACTACATATGAACAAGCGAGTTAAACAGAGGGTCAACGCGACAACGTTTCCCCCCAAACAACAAGTATGATATCGCCGTGGCTGGGTGGACACGACTGGGCCAGCACCTGCAGCGGACGGCCTTTCCACTGCCGTCTCTTCGCTCGCGCTCGGGCCCGCGCTCCGCGCGCGGGCAGAACGAGTCGGCACCACAACGGGTCGTAAACGACGTCGATCGGAAGAAGTGGGCAGAAACATGAAGTCGGCAGGCGTTGGAAGCAAATTTGGGCATCCGCCCGCCCCCTGGAGAGGAAGGGCAAGGAAAAACCGCTCGATCTTGGAAGTAGGACGTGGGCAGATACACATGAAGTCGGCAGGCGTTGAAAGCAAATTGGGGCTCCCGCCCGCCCCCCGAAGAGGAAGGACACGGAGAAACCGCTCAATCCTGGAAGCAGGAAGGCGCCCAACGCCAATTGGAAACTGGGGGTCCAAAACATAGCTCTACCTTCGACGACCGGCGTGCAGAAGGGGCTCCGCGCCACGGAGGGGGGGGCCCGAAGCGGCGCCGTGGGCCCGGAGGGCAGGGAGGCCCGCATTGGCCAGGAAGGCGGACGACGTCGAACGACGCTCCTGCCCAGGAGCTGAGGGGCAACGATCGGGGGGGGATAGGCATAAGGGGGGGGACGCATCGGCCTGGCATCGGCGATACATCGCCGATAAATCGGCGATAGGCTCCCGATCGTGAATCCGCACCTTCCTGGGCAGGTCGGGGCTATCGGGCCCCTACGATCAATGGGCGATTGGGGGTCGATGCGTCCCCCCCTATGCCCATCTCCCCCCCCTTTATCGTTGCCCCTGAAGAGCCCGGCCCGGGGCCCCAGAGGCACGGCCAGGACCGGCGGAACGCGGGAGATCCGGGGCAGGGGTGGCTTTGTTGGTGCGCGACCTTCGGGAGCCGCGGGGAGGCCCAACCCCGCATCGCGCGGGGTCGTATGGGGGGCCCGGCGTTCCCGCACCAAGAGTCGAGCGGGGGAGGGGATCCGGAGGGAGCGGGGGCGGGGGAAGTTCTGGAAGCAAGGAGGAGGAGGCGGAGGAGGAGGAGGAGGAGGCAAGCTAGGTGCGCTCGCGTCATATCTGACGTCCTACCCCTCCCTCCCATCCCTTACCATGGCGCTGATTTTCTCTATCCGCGGACGCGTGTCGTAGCGGACCTGTGGCTCCGCGCGCGCGTGCGTAGTGGGTGGTGGTGCGCGTGCGTGCGTGCGTGCGTGCGTGTGTGCGTGGTTGGTGGTGGTGGTGGTGGGTGGGTGGTGGGTGCTGGTGGTGGTGGTGGGTGGGTGCTGGTGCTGGTGGGTGCTGGTGGTGGTGGTGGTGGTGGTGGTGGTGGTGGTGGTGGTGGTGGTGGTGGTGGTGGTGGTGGTGGTGGTGGTGGTGGTGGTGGTGCGGCGCGGTGGTGGCGGGCGGATGGGCGCGCGAGAAAGAGGCCCGCGCTGGGGCGAGAACGCCATCCTCAACGACGGAGGCCAAACACCGATCCGAAAATGAGGCCCACGCTGCAGCGGGAGCACGATTCGGAACGATTCGGGAGCAGAAATGAGGCCGGCGCCTCAGCGAGAGCAGCATTTTAGAAACAAACACAAGCGAAAACCCAACTCCGGGGAATCCTGTGTGTAAAAAAACAGTACGCGGGGGGGTGCCGAATATCTTCCGGACGCCATCAGGGGAAGTGGGAGAGTATTTTCATATTGTGTAATTGTATAGGGAAGGAGGAAGAGGAGCCAGGAGGAGGAGGAGGAGACGGAGGCGGCGGAGGAGGAGGAGGAGGAGGAGGAGGAGGTCGCTCCAGCGAAAGGCCACTCTTACGCGCAGCCAGCAGGTTCCCGACAACCACGGCCACGGCCACGGAAATCCAGCCCAGCCCCTTCTGTGGCCACCAGGCTGCGCGGCCACCGTTTCCTGCGTCCTGCACCAACTCCAGTTTCCAACGTTAACAGTGCAATGCCATTTTCTGCTTCCCGCGGTAAGATGTTGCCGTCCGCGCGCGGGGGGGAGACGAAATCCACCCTGGCCACCACTCCCGCGTCGTGTGTTCAGAAAACTCCGGGGAGCCCTGGGACACATGCAAATCGCAGTTGCTCGCCAGTTGCGCCACATTCGCGCCACAGAAGCTCAAATCCCAAACACATTAAACTCGACTCGCGATCTGGAAGCCCAAACTTCTTTTACATCTCGCCGTTATCACGCTCCTGATGCCAGAATCCTTGTAACATTAAGTCCGATCCGCGCTCCCGGGGCTCAATTTTTTTGTCATTTTGCGGGGGGGCGTGAACCCTGGATTCTTTTTCCTTGAACCACAAGTTTCCAATCCAACAATCCAGGCTTGAAACGCGCGAATCCCTGCAGCCCTCCTCGAGGCCGCTATGCATGCTAGCGGACTCGTCAGTCGCGCCAGCTCAAAGTATACAGTAAACCGCTGAGCCCGTCAGGTGTCTCTCCTCTCCTCGTAACGAAAACACAATCAGCCACTGTATAGGAAACTTCTTACTCACGAGGGTTCTCAGGCGTTACACTAACATTCTCTCTATTTCTCTCTCTTTCTCTCTCTCTCTCTCTCTACCTCCCGCGCGAAACGCCATCCGGAGCAGATCCGGCTCCGTCGTATTCCCCCAGAAGAGCCAACAACGCTCAACACAAACGGTATATCGTACTGTTCGCCCAAGGTGTGTGCAGCATCGTTTAAGCGAAGCTTCCCAATCTTGAACTCCCAACGGCGCGTGCCTACCATCGGCTCCCGAATGAAGTTTACTCCTGCTCTTGTACGTTATCGGACTCTCCGCCGTGACCGACCTCAACTTCTTGATATGCATCTCTGTCTCTGGCGACGCATCCCTCCTGCGCCGGGATAACTTAGTCGACCCACAACTGCTTTCGTGAACATCTCCATGTACGGGTCGAAGCGGCGCACTCCATGACCCTGTCCTGAGGTCCTCTTCTCTGATCCTGAGTTCCGGGCCCACGACCCCCTTCGCCTTCACCACGGACATGTAATAACTGAAATCCACGGCCATCACGGTAACCACCAGGTGCGTTGGTACACTCCACCAGCTGAACTCGTTCGCCATGCTGACAAGGAGATTGACTCCGTCGTCGCCATAAAACCCCATGCTATAAGCAACTGGGATCGCCATTCTGACCGCCCGCACCTTGGTCAAAACCTTTGGACCCTTGGACCTCGTTGTTTTTCACCGGGGTCAAGTCTAGCGTCTTCATGTGCCTATCGAGCGTATCCTTATCCATCGGCCTGGTTCCTATATATCCGCCACCTTGTCCTTCGCGTTGACCTTGACCACCGCCGCCTCGTCGTCTCGCACTAAATCTTGGTGCCATATCATCCGCATCTGGAAGTGTCGTTCCCGCGCAACTCCATTCATTCGGATCCTCGGGCGGGAGGACAGATGGGGAGGGGGGGAGGGAGGGCGGGAGGGGAAAACCAACGCATATGTCCTAAACCTCGTCGCGTTCAACATCAAGTGCGCTCGAAGCTTGCTGGGCACTAGCCTTGTACTGAGCACCGACTTCTTGATGGACCCATGACCTTCCAACCCGTTCCTCGCAACGCTGCGCGAGCGTCTCCCACGAGACGATGCCTTTGATCAGGTCGTGTTCCTGTACACTCGGGTACAAGATCGAATCCAGCACCCCTGAGAACCTCGACGGCATCGTCGGCTCGAGCTCCACACATAGGAACCTCCGAACTTCCAATCCATCCCCAGAAGGTACGCTTTTCACTATGGTTTTGCGATCTGCTCTTGCACGTCAACACCAGGATGTCATAGAGGTTCGTACCCAATCACTGCAATCCGTCCAGCTCTTCATGCGAAAAACTCTCAACATCCACTTTCGCTGCGTCCCGCATCAGCTCGGCCATGTGCGTGCTCACTGCCATGCAGTAAGCCACCGGTACGGAACTCCAGATATCCCAAGCAACTCCATCTTTGTATTTCGCGTTCTCGTCGAGTTCTCCTGAGAACCCGTGGCTTCCCGAGCAGCTCCGTGTCCACTAGAGATTCGGCGCGATGAACTGGTCGTCCTTCGTCCTGAGCGCCTCCACCTGCTGGTCCTGCTGCTGCTGCTCGGGCGTTCGTTCACAAACGTGCCACTCCAGCTGCGGTATCTGATCGCGCTGCTGCGCCACGACGCCCTCCGTGGCCACAGTCCGCTGCAGAACAGCGCGAGGCCTGGAGCCTGGCCGCGGGCACGACCAGGCTCCGCTAACCATTGCGGAACGGCGTGAGCCCTGGATTCCTTTTCCTTGGGCCAAACGTTTCCAGTCCAACCGAGACAAGAATCCTTTGTTTACTTTACAACAGACTCGCGCTCTCTGAGCCACAATCCTCGTAATTTGCGCCAGAGTCGCGCCCCCGAGGCGGCAATCCCTTGCAAATACCGTCAGGTTCGAGCCCTCGCAGACACCGGGTAAATGACGTCACGATTAGCGGCCGTCCTTTCATGAGGTCCCGATACTGCTTCAAGCCGGCGCCCACGCATCCCAAGATAGCTTTGGCATGCCATGCTGGCAGAGAGGGGGGCCAGCGGCACAGACAAAAACGCTTCACACACCCCGAGGAAGCGCACAGGATCAGAGTCGAAACACAGGCATCGTGACTCTACAAGGAACGCTGGATAACGAATGGGCTACGACCTGACAATCAAGGCCCCTCCTTAACCAAAATCGGCCCCCACTTTAGCGTCTTCACTTCTGTACCTGCGGCAGGCAGAGCAACGACAATGATCACCTTTCCTCCGAATGGCGTGGCAGTATGCAGAGGACGAGGAGGACGAGGACAGACGCGGGGACGGAAACGCGCAAACAAGTGCTCGCGCTGGAATTCTATCCGTGGTCAGTGCTACTGCGGGCTCCAAGGGGGGGAGGGTCGCGGGCGGCCAAGAGGGGGGGCGTCCAAGAGGGGGGTGGGCGCAAATCATGGCCGGCAGCATGTGCTCGGCCCATGGGGGGGGCCAGTGACGAAATAAAATAAGAAGAGCCGCCATGAAATCTGGGGAGATCATGGCCCACACCATGATATCCACCACCCCCTAGTCATCACCCCCCTCTTGGCCGCCCCCGAGAGGGGGGAGGAGGGAGGGCGGGTATTGAATAAGAACTGCCTCACTTGTTCACGCACATGCACCGATCCTGGCCATGCCCGTCTTGAACCCAGGATGGGCGCGTACGCCCTCCTGGCCTGGCCAACAAGGCATGTGCACCGATCCTGGGCCCAGGATGGTTCGTGCCAAGATCGGTGCATGTGCACGGCTTCGGGGATCTTCTGACCCGTGTCAATCCAGGCCTGGGTCAGTCAGGCCTTGCAGAATCTTCCAAAATCCTGCAAGATCCTGCACCCAAGCCCGGGTCAACGCGAAGGATCCTGCAAGATCCCGCACCCAAGCCCGGGTCAATGCGACCCTGGACCTGCTGGATCCTGCAAGACCGGGCGCTCTGGCTGACCCCCATTTACATTGACCCCCGTCTCTTTGGAGTCCCGAAACGGTGCGGTGACGCACCGTGCGGTGACCTCGAAATCCCCCAAGACTTCACCGCACGGTCCGTCACCGCACGGTCTTGGGACCCCGGAGGCCCCGTCGCCCGAGACGTCCTCGGAGAACGACCCGAGTCTCAAAACCGTGCGGTGACCCCGAATCCCCACCGACTCACCGCACGGTGTGGTCACCACACCGTTTGGGGGCCCCCGAGTCTCTTGAGCCCCGACGGCTCTCTTCGCCCGCTCCTCCGGGATCGCAGACTTGGCCTCGCTCTCGAGGAGCGCCGAGGCCAGCGCGTCGTAGATGAACGCAGACGTGCCGAGGTTGAGCACGGAGGCGTGGGCCCTGATGGACATCAGAAGGGGCGCGACCTCGGCCGGAGTTGACTCGCCACCGACCTCGAGCGAGGCGCCCGCGACCCTGGCCACCAGCTGGTCGACGGCGTGCCGCATGCTCGCAGCCAGCTGCTCTACCTCGTCAAGCTCCCTGGCCAGCGCGCTATCGCTGTGGCTCTCCAGCTGCCGCCTGAAGTGGTCCCGCGCCTTGGCCTGCACCCACCTCTCGCGGAAGAGGAGGGAGAACTGTGCCGAGGCCACGATCATGATCATCACCCCGCAGACGCACATCAGCCCGGCGACCACCTTGCCCGCGGGCGACGTGGGCACCATGTCGCCGTAGCCGACCGTGGTGAGCGTCGTCACGGCCCACCAGAACACCGCCGGGATCGAGTCGAAGTTCGACTGCGCAGTGCAGTCCTGCGGCGGAATGGCGTACAGCTCGTCCCCGGGCGTCACCCAACCCTGGAGGCACTGCGGCGCCTCGAAGAGATAGAGCAGCGTCGACGCGATGACAGTCGTGAGAGCGAACAGAAGCAGGATGACGCAGAAGCCCGAGCTTGCGGCCTCCATAATCACCTCGAAGAGGAGGGCCGTCTGCTGCACGTTGCGATTGTCCTTGATAAGCTTGATCACCCGGACAACCCTGAGAAGGCGCACCACCCTGAAGATCCGGAGGATCCGGATCGGAGCCACAGCCGCCGCCGTCTTCGGGGACTCGCCGTATGCTCTGATGACGAGCTCGAGGTATCCAGGCAGTGTCGAGACCACGTCAACGATGTTGTCCGCCACCGTACCCCCTGGCACGTTGAGGCGACGCAGAATGCCAGGGGCTGTCTGGCACAGCGGAGGCCAGTCCACAAGAAACCTTCCGCAAGAAACCCAACCCTGAGAACCCAGGACGTCCATTCCCAAGGGGCACCCAAGAGCCCAGGAGAGGACTCCACGGGGCCTCCAAGAAGAACCCAAGAGGCCACAAGAGAAGAGAGACGCAGAGGAATGTAGGGAGACGACGACGAGAACAGGGAGACGCACCCCGACACGACGCGGACGAGCGTGTCACATCTGACGGCTTTCTCACGCCTCGTGGCCCGAGGTGTCACGCGTTGCGGTTTCCTGTGCGCTCCTCGAACAGTCGCCACCCATAATGCTGGGCTGGCACGGTGGCGGGACTTGCCGCAGACAACCAAATAAAATACGCAGAAACCCACGCAGCTGTCCGTGGTGTACAACCGCAGAACGATCTCAATAGAGTAGACGATCGTCACCAGAAAATCCATCACGTAGAGGAACGGCGCGTGAGTGCGCATGGACGGCATGGTCTCCACCACGGTAATCAGCGAGCCGGTGATGATGGCGCCGACGATGAAGTACTGGACCGCCTGCGCGGCGCCCGACGACGAAGGATCCTCAAGCATGTCGCGCAACCTCTGCCTCGCCGACGGCAGGTCCCGCTCTTGCTCGAGAGAACTCTGACGCGCATAGTCCTGAGGGGCAACGGGAAAGGGGGGATGGGCATGATGGGGGAAACATCGACCTCGAATCCGCGATACATCGCCGATAGATCGGCGATGCGTCCCCGATAGCAAATCCGCACGCTCCTGGGCACTGTTGGCGATCGATGGGCCATGGATGGTCGATGCCTCTCCCCTCCATGCCCGTCCACCCCTACCGTTGCCCCTGAGGTCCCCGTGGCGCGAGAAGAGCCCGAACTCCGTGTCGCTGTCGCTGTGCCCAGCGGCCGCCATTGGGCGGGGCGCTGCGCGGGCCCTCCGTCGAGAGGGCGCGCTTCGACCGGGCACCGCGCCCTGAAAACAACGGACACCCAGAGGAGGCCGACCAAGGGACCTCGAGCCAGAAGGCTGCAAAAGGCCCCATTATAGTAAGGGCTCGGCCACAAGACACCTTCCACAAGAAACCCAACCCTGAGACCCCAGGACGTCCATTGGTGTTTGGTTTGGGAACGTCACGCCTCCCATAGCAAAACCATCATAACCCGAGAACCCCAGGGCACCCTGGAGGCAAGCAGGGTGTTTCTTGGCATGGGTCTCCACTGTAGAGAGCGGAGAACCCACCCTCATCATATGAACCCGACAAGCGAAGCCGTTTAGCAAACGCGCTGAGGGAAGGCATCAAACAGGGCGGGGCTGGTTCGTAAACGCCCAAGGCCGCTTCAATAAACACCAATTGTTTGGGTCAGTCCGTGTTGTTTCCTCCCTCGACCCCTGGAGGACGGGATGGGGCGGCAAAGAATTTGAGGCTGGGAGGAGCAGCAGTCATTCAATAAAGTGGCGTTGTTGCGCACCGCCCGCATGCATGCATACACGTCGGTCGGAAGAATTAGGTAAAAGCGTGAAGTAGAAAGGCGGATAAAGTGGGTTGGTTCCAGGCCTTCCCAGATAATAACAAAGCACAGCGCGAGCGTATCGGTTCTTGAAGTAGGAGTGCGCTAGAAAGAACTTGTACCTGGGCATCCAGAAATACATACTTTCAACGACCGGCGTGTACGGGGGAGTTGTTCCTCGCCGCTCTCATGCATGTATGTCATGTTTCCATGTGCATTGTGCAGCATTGGTGTGCATGTGCAGCATTGGTGTGCAGCATTGTGTGATGTGCACTAGCTGTGTTCGCATGCTGCTGCCTTTTTCGCTCGAGTCCTGACGAGCCCCAACAGGAGCAACACGTTGTGACGCGTACCAAAAGAGGCACGGGCTGGAGAGCCCCATACGAGTCGGGTGTGCGTGGGGAAGTTGCAGGGAGGGGAGGGAGGACCCTGTCAGAGGCATCGAGGGGTCCCCAGACAGCCGAGGTCGTGATCTTTTCTCAGCGGAGCTCCGCATACAGTAGGGGCCCGACCACAATAACCCTCCCACAAGAAACCCAACCCTGAGACCCCAGGACGTCCACCGATTTGGTGTGGAAACGCCACGCTTTTCATAGCAAAATCATCGAAACCCAAGAAGCCCAGGGTACCCCTGGAGGCAAACCGGGTGTTTCGAGCGGCATGGGTCTCAACTGTGGGTCTGGACCCCTGCCTGGGCACAACTGCTTCACGCCGCGCCGTCTTCGACGCCCCCAGGGCCCCGGCGAAGGATCCACAAGCCGAAACCGACCAAGAGCCGCCCGCCGTGATTTTCGTCACGAGGAGGAGGAGCGAGGAGGACAAGGAGGAGCGAGGAACGAGGAGGAGGAGCGAGGAGGAGGAGGAGCGAGGAGGAGCGAGGAGCGAGGAGGAGGAGGAGCGAGGAGGATTCTCATGGTTTTCACGTCGTTGCCTCGGACACGACTGGCGCGGGCGGGCCGATCTCAGGCCCATGGGGGCATCGGGTAACGGCGGCCCCTCCCTTCCCCCTCTCCTCCCCCTCCGACCAGCCACAACTGGGGGAGCTGTGGTCCTCCCCCTCCGACCAGCTACAACTGGGAGAGCCTCGACGAGCTCTCGAGAGGGGTGTCGAAATCGATGGGTCCCCCTGGGTGGTAAGGACCACAGCTCCCCCAGTTGTGGCTGGCCTGCCTCTCCCCCCTCTACATCCCGAGAAGCAGCAGAGCTGCACCAGTGAAGTTTCGAAGAGCCGCGCGGAGGTCTTGGGTAGGCTCCAGGACCCCCCCCCCCCTGGCGCGCGGAGCGCGCCAGGGGCGGCGCTAGGGCGCCGCCAGAAGCGTCCAGCGCACATCAAAGGAATCCGCGCGACCTTCCAACACATCGACTACCCCTCCTGCACCCTTACCCCGATCTTTGCCCTCCCCTCCGTCTCGCTCCTCCCCGCCTCCTCCCCCCAGCCCTCCTCCCGAATGGCCGAGTCCGATGCCCAGCACGGATGTTGACGTCTCGCTTCTCCCTCCTCCGCCTTCCGCCGACCGTCCGCCGCCGGACTCGCCACTGTGCTGCTGCCGCGCCCTCCGTCGAAGGCGAGAATCCGCCTAAGGCGACGCCATGGAACGCGAAATCAGCAATCACATGGGACCCCCCTACCCCTGCGGGTGAGATTTAATGGAAACGCTGGCGGGGGATCAGAATTCGAAGGATGTCTGCAACCAGGTGGACCCCAGCGGGGGTGTCCGATATCCCAGCGTCGACCGGACCCGTAGGGGTAGGGCTCGCAAATGGTCGCAGATGAAACATAATGCTTGCTCAGCGGGCCCACAATACAATATGAAATGCGTTTGAGGTGCGACAACCATAGCGCGAGCACACGCTACTTGTGAGACTGCTGTAACATAGTCGGGCCGCGATGATACTTGCGGCAGCTGGCGAACAAACGCGCAGCCTTCTTCGAGACCTGTTACTGCCGTGGGGCTCGTCAAAGTTTTGAAATTACCGGATGATGCTGTATTCCTCCCTCCTCCTTCTTCTCTTTCTCCTCCTCCTCCTCCTCCCTCCCTCCTTCCCTCCGTCGCTCCCTCCCTTTCTCTTCCATACCCTTCGCACTCTTCATTTTCCCCTTCCGTCTCCCCTCTAACCCCCCATTCCATCCTTCCCCGTCTACTTCTCCTACTCATCGCTCTCATCGGCCTTCCCCTCAACTTCACACCGGGCCACGCGAGCGCGCGCTCCCGCACAGACGTGGGAGAGAATGAGGAGGCGCCAGAGGAGGACGGAGGCGGAGGACGGAGAACGACACAACTGCTGGGACACCACCTTGTGGTTCGGCCCAATGTACTCTTTTGCAGGCGGTGGGTTACTTACGCGAAGTGTAAATGGACAAGTTTGGCGTAGGCTTCCTGCGTGGAGGCCAGATCTAGGACGGCCAAAGGTTGACCCATGCGTTTGTGGGATGGTAGCTTGACCGCGACAAAAGCTCTCATCCGCCACCGTGCCCCCTGGCACGCTAAGGCGTGGTAGGGTGCCACGGTCTGTCTCGTGGGGGTTCCGAAACCTTCTCTACGAGAACCCCCACCCCTCTAGTAGAGTTCCCTTTGCCTGCATCCCCCGTCCCCTCCAGAGGCCACGATCCCTTTAAACAAAACTGCGGGTACCGCGCTCCCGAGGCCACGATTCCTCCTTGTAGAAAACGATGGGTCCGCGTCCAAAGCTTCAAGGACGGCTCAGGAAGGCAATCAAGGCAACCAAGATGGCCCAAAATGCCAATCAGGATGGCCCAAGATGTCTCGAAGACGACCCAAGATGGCCTCAGGTGGCCCAATACGGCCTCAAGATGGACCAAGATGCCTCAAAGAGAGCCCAAACGGGCAACAAGATGACATCCAACAGGGTCCGAAGAAACCGAACTCATTGATTTCTGACTAGATGGTTTTGAACCAACACGACTGCGGAGCGAACCCGCCCCTCACAATCTCTCTCAGTTCCTTACCAAGGGTTATGTAGAATGCACTGCTACACTCCTCCTCGGCCATGGGCCCTCGCGCCGCCGCCGAACAGCAGGCATTGAAACGCAAGCAGGCGCCCTCGCGCCTTCACGTCTTTCCTCGGCCGAACCTCCGGCCCAAGTCGTAACTAAACCGCTGCCCTCAGGGACAGCTCACTTCTACCCTCTTGAATCACAAACCCGCACTTGTCCACGAAGAAATCGATATTGTCGCCGCTCAAGTGCTTCGTCATCAGGTCGGCAGTATTGAACTCGCCTGGAACCTTATTCAACTTCGCAAGCTTCTCGTGGTAGATAGCTTGAAACCCATAGATACTGTGTATGTAAGTGCCGCACCTTCCTGGCACCAAGCCTGAGCGCCATGCCACGCCCGGCTGTCGCATCCGTCTCGACGACTAGGCCTTTCGTCATGCCGTAGTCCTTGCACATGCTTTGAGCGCCACGTCCCACGCTCGTCCCTCGAACAATCGCATAAAACTCCGACTCGCCACTCGATAAGGCAATCCCAGACTGAGCGTTGGCGGTCGCCTTAGGCAGATGAGCTCCATGATAAAGTGCAACTCCAGTAGTGCTCCTCCTTGTCAGCACGCAGCCCGCATGGTCTGAGTCGCAGGCTACCGTGATCTCGTCCGGCTCGTCCTGCTGGATGAACCGCTGTACTATCCTTGGCCGGCGTAGCAAGTAGCGTCCGATCCTCTTCACCATCTCCATGGCCACCTCGGTCGGCTTGCTCATCCACCTGGCCGCTTCCTTCGCCGCGTAGAGCAGGTCGATCCTGTCCATCGCGAGGTAGTTGATGCGCATGCAGACGCTCCTGTATAGCGCCGCCTCTGCAGTACCAAGCGAAGGAGATTCAAGCAGCTCCTCCACCGTCCTCTTGATGCCTGGCGATGTCACCGCCTTGATGCCCTTGTCGAGTCCGAGCTTCAGCTGGCTCGTGACGATCTCGACGTGGCGGGCGTCAACTTCCCACTCCAAACACGGAACGCCGGCCTCGGTCTTGTTTAGCCTGACGATCCTGCTGAGCAGCGTGATCTCCCGCAGGTCGCCGTCATCCCAACCAAGAACTCCTCGAACCTTCACAAGCAATCGCTTGGATAGCTCGGTCTTGAACCACTCCAGAGCGTCATCATCGCCCTCGCTCACGAAGTCGCCCCCGTGGTAGAACAACAATACGTTCCTCTCGTCGTGCCTGCACAGGCACGGGCAGAATACGCCGATCTTGAAACCCATCTCTCGCAGCACCTCCATCACCTTGTCAGCGAAGTTGGCCGCTGCGTCCCTCGTACCGTACATGCTCTTGAGCAGCATTGCGCAATATCCTTCTCGGTGCCGTTCAGGAGGTAGCTGAACAAACACTCGTCGCCGAGCGGGACTGTGGAAGTGCGCCCTACTAGTATCGATGAACATCAACTTGCGCC